CTAGTGTATTTGGCATTGAACTCCATTGTTTTTGTTAAAATAATTTTCAAAAAGTTTGAATGCATTAGTTAATTTTGACAAAAGGGCCAGACATGGATGTATTTAGAGTCACAACTTGTGGTATTATTGTATAAAACAGAAGCAGAAATTACCAATAACCTGCCCATAAACAGTTTATTTGCATTTTTTCACCACAGGAATAATCACAAAAAGAGCTGAGTAATGAGACACGACCAGATGATTCATTAAGCCCTTATATTCAGCAGTTTGTGTGTTTGCTGTCTTATTACAAACATACATGGCAGATTTCACAATATACACGTTCAATTAACAAAAAATAGTTAAACGGACCTATTGCCCCTTCAGGAGGTGCTGAATCAATTTATAATCCATATTTCCTAAATTTCGTATTTTGACGACAGGCTGTGATGAGATGAGATGCTCCATGCCTGGTTGCATTACCTGAGAGCTCTATAAAAGTTATTCTTATATATTTATTTCTCTTTTCAAAATAAGAGTCATGCAGACTCCCAAATACATAGTAAGTGAATACAATCTTAGGTTTAGACATAAAAATGAGGGGAAGTGATCATTGTTGTAATCTCATTCGTAAATGTCCAATGGATTTTAAAGGTTCTTCGTGACTTTTTAGGCACTTTATTTTTATTGACGGTTCTATGAAGATTTACATTCCTGAAAAGGTTATTTACAGTGATGTAAGGTTCTCATCTTATATTATTAAAATACTTATAACTTAATGGCTTTTAAAAACTGTTTACTAATTCTTCTTGAAAGGATTCTTCATGCAGAGATGCCCAATCTAGAGCTTGTGGGCCAAAATTGGCCCATGGTAACCTTTGATTTGGCCCACCATCCCACCTGAATGATGGGAATGGTTTAGAGATTGTCATTTCAAGTTTTATGTAATCTTATATTGGTTTGTTTTATTGTTAAGCTACAAAAAGCTAATTGAAATTAAATGTTTCCATTTAAATGATTTAAATGAATCAAATGTAGGTTATATTTATTTAGTTTAAATACATACAGTCACCTGACGGATGGAGAACAATGCAGAGAATTGAGTAAATCAAAGCAAAGGGAGATTCTGCTTGACTAGTGTATACAGCACAAAACTATACTGTGATAAATGTGATCGTTTTTATTGCAATACATTATAATTTAGGTTATACTGCATTAGCTAATATGACTCAAAATATTGTTTTCTATTTATATATAAATATTATGAAATGAATTAGAAAATTACGCATGGCGACTTTAATCTAATATAGTTTGGTATAATTCTTTTCAGCCCACGACTCTTAATGACATTAGTGGATTTTTGGCTTTCATGCGAAAAAGTTTGGGCATCCCTGTTCGAAGGCATCACTTTTGGGTCTTTATTTTTAGGAGTATCTTTCTATTGCAAATGGTTTAAGAATTAAGGTTGTTTATCACAATCAGTGGTTCAACAAAGAACCTTTATCTGGAACTGAATTCTCCATTCCAAGTACTTTTAAAAATAAAGATCTGCTCGTTTCTCTGTGATTTCTTGCACAGCATATACGGAAGAGACATTATTTGTAAATACAGCTGTCACTACTAATGTTTAATGAGAGTTAATTCAGTTGTTGAATGCAGTTGTCACTCTCAATTACCGCACTGTGCGCACAGAACATGATCAAACAAAAAAAGGTGAACTGACGAGCCAATTTAGCTGCTTAATGTTGTACTGGTTCTTTTAAGAATGTTCACTCAGAAGTCTATGACATCTTTGTTTAACACTTCTTTTGGAGCCTTTTTTAAAAACAGCATCATGGATATGCATCCTTAAGATGTAGTCACTCACCAGCTGCTACTTTGGTTTAAAAAACAGCAGTAATAACAAGAATCATCACATGAAATTGGAGATGAATTAAATATGTATCCTTGGAGATGCGACAAGGAGTCTTAAAAACATCTCATTTGATAATAAGCATTAACCTACGTCATCATAGTCAAGGTCATACATTTATCTTCAAAATAAAATGTGCACTTGAATGCACTGAAAGTTTTACTTTCGGATAAAAGTCTGGCAGCTGAATAAATGTATTTTGGAGGTCAAGTATCTTTTTTGGGCCGTTCTGAGTTTTCACTTCTCTGCCAGTTTAGATGAATCATTGTTCGCTCTCTTGTACGCAGGCATGAGCAGATCCTCTCTGGGGACGAGACATGACTCTATATATCACACTGGCTCTCTGAGGCCCACAGACCGGACAGAAAGGTAAAGATTGAAAAAAAAAAAAAAACATTCTCACAAAGGCTTTTCTGTAAGCCAAGACAATGAGAAACTGGGAAAACGAAATGAAGCCATTTGTAACCATTTCGTGGACAGTTTGTGCTGCGTCAGGTTCATGTGAAATGAATACCAATGCCAACAACGAGAAGAACATCTCGGTGGGCTGGATTTTGTTATATAGGGCCATAAATTACAATACTAAAAAATAGTTTGTTTACAAAAGTCTTTAATTTTGGATGCACATACACAGTTATAGTATTAAGTAGGTCAAATGCAAGAATTAAAATTATCAAGCTCAGTTAATGTAGAAGTAAATGAACATATTAGTCTTGCAAATGTTTGTAAACTATTGGATTCAAGTATTGGGGAATGTGTGATTTAAATATAGTATGACATCGCCCTCCAGTGGACGCTTACAGACCTTGGCTACTTTTTGCTACAAATCAATGGTCAAGAGCACCTCTTGGTCAAACTTGGTTAAAGAAAAACATTTATGGAGACATAATTTCCTTCCACACTGACCAGACATTATCCTTTTAGGATTTAAATAAATTATATGCAATAAACATTTCAAAAAGGATATACAGCTTTGATTTACAGTTTACTGTTGTTAATAATAATATTTATTTTATTCTACTAATTAATAATAATATTTTTTTATTCTACTAATACTAATATTTCTTTTATTCTGGTATTTATTATAATTATTCAGGGTTTCTGCAGGCTTCATCAGGTTAAATTTAGGATTTTTAAAGCCCTTTTTAAGACCATTATGAATGAAATTTTAGACTTATGCGGGGCTAAATGCTAATGATTGTTTTCGAAAATCTTAGTTATAGAAGATTTTTACTTGCCCTATTAAAAAAACTATTAAAATTTAATACATTTAAAAATACAATAATAATAATAGTCTTTTATATATATATATATATATATATATATATATATATATATTTTTTTTTTTTTTTTTTTTTTTATATATATATCCATTCACAAACCTTACAACCCTTACCAGAAATAGAACACATAGCTGTCAATTACTTCTTCAATAATATTTTAATAATAAAAAAATCTATGTCAGGTCAGTGTCCTCAGCAGTAAATGAACAGAGAACTTTTAAGCAAATGTGTAAGATAAGTAATTAAATGCTATTTTTTAAATAAAAAGTAAACAATTTTATTGAAATGGATATTTGGTGATTGTGTGGGTGTTAATGGCCAGATTGGGTAGCTAACCGGTTTCAAGGTAAACTGCAATTTAGTAAAATCAAGGTTTTAAAAACGCAAAAAAAATCTGTTATACCATTCCGTACCATACAGTAAATGTAGTTTTTTGTTGTTGTTTTTTGTTTGTTTGTTTTTTTAAGACAACAGTATCTCCAGCAGAAGATATATCCAAAATACCTTTTCAAGTTGAAAAGAAATCTGTGTTTTTGAAACTAATTTAGACAGCAGAAGTCAATGATTAATGTTTAATTATTTAGCTTTACATGTTTACTCTTCAAAAATAATTTACTTTTTTTCAAATTAAAATGTATTGTGTTCCAAAGACAAAAAAAAGTTTACGTTTTTAACCCAGACATTTAAAAAAAACTTATTTAGAGCAGTCATCCCAATACAGTGACACCGTGAGTTTTTTTATCCATTATTTATCCATATTGTCAGAATGTTATACAGGCCCATGCCTAGTAGCTATACAAGAACACAGAAAATCAAGACCTGTTAAAAAAAGATTTAAGACCAACAACACAACATTTCAGTTAGACTTTTTAGGACCCAGCAGACACCCTGATTATTTTATTTATTTTATTATCTTCTGAAACATTTGGTCGAAGTTTAACATAAAAATGTGACTGAGCAGTTTTTGTTGCAAAAATTAATAACTAAAAAGGTTTTTTAGAAATTATTTTATTTATTTTTTAGACTAAAACAATGGTTTAACTTAATAATCCTGATTGTCTAAACAAATGTCAAATAAATCCTTTAACAGACAATATTTGACATTTGCAAGACACTATCAAATCTTTACAATATTAAGCAAATATTTTTTCTTAAACCCATAACTAATAAATGCAGTATCCTTATAATCTCATAAGCTAAGACAGGTTTATTACATAGATTATCATGTGTGTGTTATCTATATATACCAGGGGGCACCAAACTTTTTCATATAAAGGGCCTAAAACCTAATTTGACTGAGGGCTGTAAGCCAAAGCTAAATATCCCAAACCGTATGACATTAAATTTGCCATGGGTAATTTCCTAATTCATTTTCTAAGATTTAAAAACAACTAATAATAAAAAAGTCTGATTTATTAACAACATTTAATTGAAACATTTAATTGTAGTTTTTTTGTAGCTCCTCAATAAAACAAAGAAACTAAAGTTTACAATAAATTTGAAATGATGATTTCTGTCAAAGGCATTTGCCCCAACCACCTCCCTATAATTCTCTCTCTCTTAGCTCCAACATTGGCCCACAGACCCTACTTAGGCAATCTCTGATATCACATACTTTCCCGGAGATAGGTTGCAGCTGGAAGGGCATCCGCTTTGTAAAAAAACATGCTGGATAAGTTGGCGGTTCATTCCGCTGTGGCAACCCCGGATTAAAAAAGGGACTAAGCCGAAAAAAAAATGAATGAATGAATGAATGAATGATATCATATATACATATACAAAAATAAAAACGATCTAATAGATACAAATAAAAGAGTCTTAGAGCATCATTTCATCTGATTTTTTAATATAAAGCTTTTGCTTTTATACAAACATCAAAGACATAAGGCTTTCTTTTGTCTCTTTACATAAATTACATTTCAAATACACAGCAATACTTTAATTATAATGTCAGATTTTAAACTAATCGTTATTGCTAATTAAAAAAAACTCTGCTACTGAAAATGAGGATGAAACTCCATTACGATGAGTTCACAGCCTCTTGAAAGAGATCTGCAATAAAAGGTTGCTAATAAATGTTCTGTGCTAATAACTCTCCATAAAAGCCTCTAGTAAATTCCTAACTGTACAAGAAGGAAGAGCACACTAAAGACAGAAGAGACCATACACAACCCTGATGTCAGTAAGATCTGTTTACATGGCTTAACCCGCATATCCTGACTATGGCAGACAATTAATCTCTGATTTGATCATTTTTGGTAGGGTTTGAAATGACAGTGACCAAACAAATAAAATAAAATAAAACAGCATAAACCTTCTGTGTAAACAAGCGTCTTTAAACTTAACTGAATACATCAGACTAAAAAAAATAAATGAATTAATTAAAATAAAAAAGATTAAAAAAAACACATTTTATGCTCTCAAAGCTGATTGGTTAGTGATTATAAAAACATAGGTCAGTTTCCAAACCGCTGAGTTAGTGTGAACACATTCCTGCTCCGTCATTCTGCCCTTGAACATCCAATAAGCCAAAATTTATGCTATGAACTTCAATTCATCTTCAGACAATGCTGATATTGTGCGCACATAGAGGTCACATCTTGCCAGCGGTAATTACATTGCAAAATGTTTTCAGATCCACATCAACGTAAACATAAAACTGCCTTCACACTGTGACTTCACATTTAATGATGGTGCAGAAGGAGAGAATGTGAGAGAGAGATTGTGTGCAAGAGCTTTCCATGCCTTTGTCATTGTTGGTCGATGGGAAGACTCAATCTCCCGGATCCACACACGCATGTCCGTCAGCCCAGCTGCACGTCCATGTCGACGGGACACAGCACAAATCTGGGGTCCAGTTTAGGTGTGAAGTTACCAAAGTTTTTGGAGGCCTCGGTCCCGAAAACATCAAGCACTTTCCTGTTCATCAGGGCAAACCTGGACAAAACCAAACAATACATTACTTGATGCTTTAAAGAATTCAAATGCATAATTAATTAGATTTCATATTTTTATGAATGATTTAACATTTTTTTTAAGATAAAGGAGAAGTTCTTTCTTCAGTGGAACACTACAGAAGATTTTTAGCTGGGACTTTAGTCCTTGTTGATTAATACTATTAAAGTCAATGGCTGTCAGCACACTTACACAAAATATTTAAAAAAGATGTTCAGGGAATACTTTGAAGCAAATACATTGAACAGATCAGTTGGGTATACAGCAGGGGAAGATAAGTATTATACAGGTCATGTTTTACTGGGAATAATATTTCTAAAGCAGCTGTTAACATAGAATTGAACCAGATTTTGTTAAAACCCAAACAATACAAACATAAAAATAAAACAAAACTAAAATCTGAAAAATGAGTTATGTGTGACAATAATGAAATGACACAAGAACAGCCACAGCCATGTCATCCTGCAGCCCAAGACCGGTTACTCACTGAAGCTAAGCAGGGCTGAGCCTGGTCAGTACCTGGATGGGAGCCCACTAGGGAACACTAGGTTGCTGTTGGAAGTGGTGTTAGTGAGGCCAGCAGGGGGCGCTCAACCCGTGGTCTGTGTGAGTCCTAATGCCCCAGTAAAAGTGAAGGGGACACTAAACTGTCAGTGGGCGCCGTCTTTCGGATGAGATGTTAAACCGAGGTCCTGACTCTCTGTGGTCATTAAAAATCCCATGGCACTTCTCGTGAAAGAGCAGGGGTGTAACCCCGGTGTCCTGGCCAAAGTCCCTCTATCGGCCCTTACGATCACCGCCTCCCAAACATCCCCTTCCACTGAATTGGCTCTATCACTGTCTCTCCTCTCCACCAATAGCTGGTGTTTGGTGAGCGCACTGGCACCGTTGTCCTGTGGCAGCCGTCGCATCATCCAAGTGGATGCTGCACACTGGTGGTGGTGTGGAGAGACCCCCCCTCATGATTGTGAAGCGCTTTGGGTGTATGGCCATACACAATAAATGCGCTATATAAATACACATTACATTACATTACATTACAAGAAGAAAGTACTGAGCTACTGAAATGTATTTAATACTTTATATACAAGGCTTTTTTTGGTGGTGGCAGCTTAAAGATGCCTCTCATATGGAGAATGAAGTCACATGCATTGCTCAGACGGGATTTTTTTCACAGACTCCAAGAGAGTTTAAAAATCTTAAAAATTCTGTGGGTCTCATCTATCAAATCTGCTCCTTATTTTGTATTCTCTATAGGACTCGAGTCAGGTGATTGGCTGAGCCATTCTACAGCTTGATTTTCTTTCTCTTAAAGCATTTGAGCATATCCTTGGCTGTGTTTTAGATCATTGTCTTGCTGAAATGTCCACTCTGGTTTCCTCATCATCATTCTGCTAATGTAGATGTTGGACTGAAGCAGCTAATATTAATTTATAATGATGAAGAGCAAAGGGTTGCTCAATACATTAGTGAGAGATTTCAGCTGCTGTCTGGGCTTTCACTGCCTTTCTACAGCTCACTTTCTTTGTGCGTTAAATATTTTTTCCAGGTGTCATTTCATTTTATAATACATAGCTTCATTTGTAAACTAATTAGATTTGTTTTTTTGCATACATGAATTTATTTGATTGTTATCAACATCTGGTGAAAATTTCAGGTCAACGGCAAAATGGTGACGTGTTCAATACTTATTTATATTCCTCGCTGCATGCACAGCTAGTGTTTTTCAGCCATTGATAAACTTCCTGTGAAAGATTTATTGGACTATTTTCAACTTCATTAGTTTGCTTTTGATATAATAATAATAATAATAATAATAATAATAATAATAATAATAAAATAATAATAATAATAATAATAATTCTTTACATTTATATAGCACTTTTCTAGACACTCAAAGCACTTTTCACAAAAGGGGGAATCTCGTTATTCATCACCAGTGTGTAGCATCTACCTGGATGACGCGACAGCAGCCATATTGCGCCAGATTGCACACCACACAACAGCTGATTGGTGGAGAGGAGACAGAGTGATGAAGGAGATATGGGAATGGTTAGGAGGCCATGACGGACAGAGGCTAGGGGGCAAATTTAGCCATGATGCCAGGGTTAAACCCCTACTCTTTTTCGAAGGACATCCTGGGATTTTTTTATGATCACAGAGAGTCAGGACATCGGTTTGACGTCTCATCCAAAAGACGGCGCTCACTGAGCAGTATAGAGTCCCCTCCACTATACTGGGGCCTTAGGACCCACACAGGTAGTGGGTTGAGCGCCCTCAGCTGGCCTCACTAACACCACTTCCGGCATCAACCTAGCTTTCCCATATGGTCTCCCATGAGACCATGACTGGGCGCAGCACTCCTTAGCTTCAGTGGGTGACCATGTTAGAGCTGCAGAGAGCTAGCTGCCGACTTATTGCTTTATAATGTATCGAAATACAATCGGTTTACTAGACTTAGACATTCATTCAAGTGTTAAACCAGATGAAAGCGTGTAAACGCAAGCTCTGTCAGTAGCAGCAGGCTAGCTCGGAAACTATTTTAAAAACATGGAGCAGAAAAACGGATTTTAAAGCAGTACTTCTTGTCTGAACTGAGACCCATTTTATATTTTATATCAATCAGGCAGTGAAGATCGCAAAAATTTTAAAGAAATCTTAAACGTGGAAAATTTGTAATGGTCAGGTGCGAGTTCACCGGAGGTGACTGGGCTGGCTGACTGAAAATGGCTTCCTAAGACCTCAGTGTATCAACAGGAGTCATTTATTTATTTAGTTTTTTACATTAATTTATTATGCTCATCTATTTTTCTGCTAAACTGCTGGTATCTGCTCTTCAAGAATCATGATTTCAATGGATTTTCATCTTTGGGTGAAAGCTTTAATAATTTAGTCCTATATATACATATATAAACATATTTTTACTAATACGCACCTGCCCTTTGTCAAACGCAGTAGAAACTTCCAGTACGATGGTCTCAGATTTTGCACTTCCATAACAGCCTGTACAGATTCATAATTGGAAATATTGGGGGAAAAAACAAACAAAAAAAACACACACACAGACAAATTAATCACATTGGTGTACAGTTTTCAGAAAGAATGTACAATAAATCGGGGACTAAACTGTAGGAAAATGAATGAAGATTATTTTTCACATTTTTTATTTTTCTTTAAGCTACATGATTGTTTCTGTTCTCTTAAAAAGAATTAATCGATTTCATCGTTCTATGAAACCCCTCCCTCAGACATACGCTTGATTGGTCAGCTTGCCATCTGTGGTTTGATTGGCTAACCAGTGCACATTGAAGGAAACTTCATGCTCATATGCAGGATTATGCACAGTTTAAGGATTGTAATTTAAAAACACAAGCAGCAGCTTATTGTAATCCCTATCAGCAACTTGTTGTAAGCCTTAAAAAATAAATTCTGAGAAATAACTTTGCAGATGTTGTTTGTTCAAACAGCAACATTACACACAAACTAAAGGTTTACAAAAAACAAGATTGGCTTTAATTTTGCATTACTTGGTTTATAATTTAAAACCTTCCAAATAAGTTTAGTTTTTCTATAAAAAGTGCCGTCTTTCTACAAGTTAAACCTCACCTGCTGTAATTCACATTCACGTCAAGTTTGTGTCATCAATAAGTCACACTGTCATAAACAGCTTCTGCATTTTGATGTGTTTTGTATTTTCCCTTGGTGTAAAAGTGTCCTTGGGTGTTCAGAAGTTACTTTGAGACAGATTTTTTTTTAAATATTTGAAACTTACCGCTTGAAAACAGATGGCAGTGGAGATGGCATAGATTACTGTGTCCGCCTCAGGGAAGTATGGAAACCTGCCTGCCTCGATCCCTTTAAAATACAATGTCTAAAAATACAGTGAACAGACTATTAATACAATATAGAGACAAGTACATATGCATAATAAACACAACACAATAACTTAGAACAAGCAGTAACAATAATCAAAACATCACTGAATTAAAAAAAACAAAGGATTGTGGGAGTTTTTGATATTTACAGGAATATAATTCCATAATTACAGTGTTGTTAATAAATCATCTATTCACCCATTAAATGACTGTATAAAAATATGACTTGTTTGTTTTTGCATGCATTCAGAAATTATATTTAATACATATGAATTTTATAGTAAAAGTCATTTGTATCTATACATTATTTTATTTTAAGTCATATTATTTAGTATGTTTTGTTTGTTTGTTTTCAAATAATAATAATAATTTATTTCACTTGAATGCCTAAACCGTAGCTTCAGCTATGATTAAAATTTAACATGGTTCTAAAAATGTTTTTGAAAAACTGTTTTTTAAACCTTTTTTTATCATTTGCTTCTTTTTTTGTCCATAAAAGAAATCAACCAATGTCTTTCTATGCTTTCAAAGCAATCCAATAACTGAGCAGGCAAAAAAATAAATAAATTACAAAAAAGTGACAAAAAAAAAAAAAAACAGTCTGCACTCATAAAAATCAAGATACAAGTCATTTAGTGACTTATTGTTAATGCCAAGCTAACAATAGGTGCGTTTGACTTCAAGCAGTGCTACGCAGAATAATTAAAATCAAAGTCTCAAAGTGGTGTATGCCAACTAGAAATTTTGTCCTTTTGTTATAGGTTACTATATTAATTTAACTAATAATTCCCTTATTGCTGAGAATTAACTATAGTTTGTAAAGATTATTCTGTTTATTATGTTGTTGTTGCAATACTAAATAAATAAATGTGATTTGTCATCATGCAGCAAGCTTCGAGCCCCGAAGTGTCCGACCCAATGGCTCAGTTTTCAACTTCACCCCCACTTGCGCTCAGAGAATCTCGTTGATTGCCAGCTGCAGCCATGCTTTATGTCGAACCCACCTAGTGTTAGAACTAGGAGCTGTCTTCATTTAAGGAGTCACATGATGATTAAGTAGATCAAATTATCAAACCAGACCAAGCTAAGAACAATAAATAAATGAACAGATAAAAAAATGAATAAATAACTAGAAAATAAAGTCTTTAAAAAAATATTTTGAGTCCGTGTACAGTGTGGTTTGATGATTGGTCGACCAATCAGAGAACAAATTTTAAAGCCTTTTATTCATTTAGGTTTTACTGCATTTTTATATTGTGTGTAAGAACGAAATGAGACAAAAACAACAACAAGAAATGTTTCTTCGTGGGAAGCTTCAAATTTGGCATATGTAACTATTCATTAATTTTTCCGTTTTAAAAATAAAAACAATATAACCAATTATATGTGTGTACACGGACAATTTGCTTTGCTTTTGCGCTACATTTAAGTAGGTGTTTTCTGTAAATTTTGGTCAAAATTCATAAAAGATCTGCAAAATATTTCCAGCACTCCAAATAAGAAAATCAATTTTTTCCCCTAAATTAATTCACATAATTAATATTTAACATTTGGTCTATTCACACTTCTCGCATTCCTGAAATAATTACAGAGCAAGACGATCCTTACCTCCACTAGTTTGGAGAAAAGGTACATAGAGATGGTGGTGCTCTTATAGAAGAACATTGACGTTCCAGCCAGAAAACCTGAAAAGATAAACATGTGAGATGAGGACCTCTAATAAGATGTTAAATTCATCTGTTCAAATCACAATTTACCTGCTATAAGCGCGTGGAGCTCATCATCCAGGTTGCGCATCCATCTCAGTAAACAGCTAGTGCCCTTTCATAAAAAAGAAATGAGATATCAGAAACTCAACATCTGAAAAAGTCTTTGTGAGAAGGAAACAAACTCCTCGAAAAGCTGCTAGAAACTTGCTGTCTCATAAAAACAACCATCAGCGAATGGTAGTGGCGATGAAGTACCTTGTATATACTGACAAAAGAGCCCAGGAAAGCTCCTAGCTGGAAGTTTTCTTTGTTGTAGAGCAGCCAGAGCAGACGCGAGGGTTTGGTGAAGGCCTGTCTGAACGCTGAGGGAACCTTCAAACAGCACTGAATGAGGTAACCCACGCTGAACATCCGGATGAAACCCTTTCAAAAAACACACAAACAAAACATCTCAGAAGCTGCTCTCCGGAAAACAAATCGCAGCTTCACAATCGGCTGTCACTCGGCAAGCAAAGGGCACAGAGCCTTTCGTTCATATAAAAGCTCCTAATTTAAGTGCTCAGTCACACACAAGTGCTCAGAACAGACAGATGAAAGGATTGAAAGACAGCAGGTTTGGAGGTCTCAGACTCTTACTTTGACACAGTAGGAGATGCAGTTGTCTTGATGGTGTTTGCAACATCTATGCCTGGGTCCATGCTTGCATCTATAGGGGACACACACACACATACAATGAACGCAAACACCATGTTTTGGGGCAAGGGAACATTCACACATGATAATGAAGCTGACTGTTGAATAAGGAGGATCTTAAGTGTCTAATGCAGGAAAAAAGTGTTTAAATGTACATAGATTAAAAGTAAAAATGAAGTCCTGCATTACATAATATTTTAAGAAATATGTTACAGTGTGGGGGACACGGTGGCGCAGTGGGTAGCACACTCGCCTCACAGCAAGAAGATTGCAAGTTCAAGCTTTGGCTGGGTCAGTTGGCATTTCTGTGTGGAGTTTGCATGTTCTCTCAATGTTTGCATGGGTTTCCTCCGGGTGCTCCGGTTTAGAGATCTGCGCGGGACTAAATTTTGAATCCTGCTCCCGTCCTCTCCTGTCAGGTTTTAGTCTGAACCCGACCTCTCCCAACATTGTTCAGCATTTGTTGTCCCGCTGCCCGCCCCGCCCTGTTTTCTACCCGCTGCGCCCGTTCCCGGGGCCACCCAGTTATACAGAGTCCAGACAGCCTATAACAAGCTGTCTGTATAAACACACACACACATACACACACATAGACAAACAGCACCAAGTCAGTGACACAGACAGCATCACGCTCTCTTTCATTCACACACACGCAGCACCAAGCTCTCTCTTATTCACACACATACATAGACAGCAACAAACAAGCTAAACGCAGCATCGTTCTCACATTCACACACATACATACGTGTGCTCGCTCGCTTGAGAGTGATATTGTTAGACCGCCTGCTCCCGTTCAAAATACACCAGTTACCAACTGCTGCATTTATTCTGAAATTTAATCGTGGGAATGCAGACCTCTACTCCAGTTTCCCCCTCAATTCCAAACACATGTGGTATAGGTGAATTCAGTAGGCTAAATTGGCCGTAGTGAATGAGCGTATGTGTGTGAATGTGAGAGTGTATGGGTGTTTCTCAGTACTGGGTTGCTGTGTAAAACATATGCTGGAATAGTTGGTGGTTCATTCCGCTGTGGCGACCCCTGATGAAAAGCCAAAGTGAATGGATGATGATGATAATAATAATAATAATAATAATAATAATAATAATAATAATAATAATATCAGAATGTTCCTAATAATTATAGAATTTTTTGGTGTGCATAAAGTTACATCTTCTGTTTAAAATCCCATCGTCTCATACAATGATCGAGGTGTCCCTAATAATTAATAAATCTCATACAACTGTCTCATACAATAATTTAAAAGCAAATTTAAAGTTGGCAACACAAAAACTATCCAGATTTATTGAAAAATATTTTTTAATAATAATGTATTTTTATATTTTGGTGTTGTTGGCTGTGTGCTTTTGTTTTACTTTTGGTTGAGCACTCATTTGACATTGATGTGTGTGCTTTTGTGCATTTTTTCTTTGTATTTGAAACATAAGCTAGTTTATCTGCGACACTTACAAAGAGTCTAGGAGTTTACGTGCAAAAGCTCTGATGCAGCTCCCTCTAGAGGCAGGTGTTTGCTCTGGTCTCTCTTCTGCTGGCTGTACGTCTCTTTCTGAACCCTGGCCATACGCATGTTCAGCTAGGCAAGAGTGTGTCGGGATCTCCTCCTTCCCAACTATAAATCTGCAACAACCAGACACATAATCTCCTTTAACCGTCTGACATGAGTTGTTTTTACTCCATCCCAAGGGGGCTTTAGGATTAACAGCAAATCCTTGGGAATTTACGAAGCAGGTTTAGAAGTGCTAGAAACCTTTAAATAAACTTACTTTAAGGCAGAAAAAGCGAAGCCATTCAGTCCGTCTTTACATCTGAAGATAAAAGCAAAAACAAAATGATAAGTTTGATGATTGAAGTCTAACAACTAGCTTTGGTATTTTCTGAAGAATGGGATTGTTTGTGCCATTTCTGTTCTTAATCCAGATCCAGGATTGGAAAGCAATAACCTGACCAACTGACCTGAAGAAAAACATGTAGAGGGACGCAGTCAAGCAGAACAGAAGAACCTGGAGGGAAAAAAAGAGGAAATTATTTGATTACAATACATTTCAGGTTAGGTCATTTTGTGGATCAGGTCAAAGTCAGTTGGTGGCAATAATGCTTTTGCAAGCATGTATACTGGTGTTGTTTCACTAGCACTAATTGATCTCAATTCATAATATACAGTACATAGCGGTCTAGATATCATTGAGTAGCAAGATCTTTAAACATTTCAACATTGAACAACTCAACAGGAACAAAACAAGATTGTAAATCTATATTTTCACTCTAGTTTCCAGCATCACACAAATGAAATCATTTTAATATGCAGATTTGATGCTTGTGAAACATTTATTATTGTAATCAACATTGAGAAAACAGGTAGCTTTGTACTTGTCTTGTGTTGATATTAGATGTGACAAAAATGGCATCTGTAATGCAATATTTAAATGAGTACAAATTAGAGAATATGGTGGGCTCAGATGAAAATGGTCATTGAAAATTCAGGATTCCTTTTTTTAAAGATTTATTTTTGGCATTTTTGCCTTTATTTGACAAATTATTTGTAGGATGACAAAAAGTAAAATAGGAGAGAGAGGGGGGTAGGAACTGGAAAGGTCCAAGAGCCGGGATTCAAACTCAGGACGCACCATATGTCATTACACCAACCACTGGGCAATCACACCGGCTGTATTTTTATTTATTTTTTTTTTTATTTATTCATTTTAATCACAAGCTGACAGCTGCTGTAAACGGTGTCTTAAACATTTTGAGCTTGTCCACTCTTGACTCTTCCAGAGGTAGTCAAAAATGTTCAGTGTGACTGCTTTCATAGCATAAATGCTCATGTGATTGCATCTAAATAGCCACAAAAATAAACATCTACTCACAGTCTACTGATCTAATATGTCATTATAGCATGTTGTGAGAAACAAAACGATATATATTCACAAAGTTGCAAAGTCTAAAATAGTCAAAATATTACTAGTTATAAATGTTCTTTTAAATAACTTTAAACTAGTGGTTCAGTTTCTGAATGGCTGTATTTAAATTTCTGTCATGTTTCGTCTGGTGCAAACAGCCAAATTACTTATCACTGCATATCTCGTCATGTAGCGTATTGTTAGGACACGGGTTTACAATGTAACCTGCTCACCTAATGTTTACGTTCATTTTTTTTCTAGAGTTTGCCAATTAATAACCTCATGTTGAACTCTGAATCTGCGTCTCATTTCAGAGTCTGCTACTGTCCACCGGAGGTCGCATTTCAGTCACGGATACATGCTTTGAAAGCTTTTCTGAATGAATGAATGAATGAATGAAATATGCGGTTTTCCATCAAGGCAACACGGGGAGCTGAAATATAATTGACTAAACTGGCATAGGGCATGTTGTAAGAACCAAAACATAAACAGGCGTTCCGGCACATAACGCCACTTTTCAGAGCAGAATATCTGACTTCAGCATTGTTTTTCAGAAAAACAAGTAGGTTCACTTGGCATGTTTCTTAAATATTTGCAAACATTTGATGGTATTTCATGCTTTAAAGAATCAAAAAATTACATACAGCACCTTTAAATCCATGTTGCTTTTATGCTACGTTACACTCATCTCTCATCAACAATCTCATTTAATTTTAAGTTTTCAGTCTTAAACTATGTCTTCAAGTCATCAAACTATGTCTTTGTTTGTTGTAAATATGCACCCTCTAGAGGTGAAAATCACATATTGTGCCTTTAAGTAGTGCTTGTGTCACTTTATGAGCTCCTGTGAAAGTGAGTGTGATGAAATAAGTGAGAAGAGTTAAACAAAACCGAAATACAACTAGTTAAGAGAGATTTGAACAATGGTTATTATTTGATGGAAATATCATTTGTCTCAGCTGAGCACTTGTGATGATGAAATATGAAAACAGGGCATTGTGAACCACAAACAGTGGCATAAACTCCAACATACCTCTCCATGTTTCATAGGCTTAACAAGACCCCTGGTGACAGCCATCCGAAAAATCGTCTCTGTTGCCTGGAAATGACACAGAGCACTTAAGATCATAATCAGCCGAGGTTTCCTTGAAACAGACAGTTTTGATCACAGCTTTCCATAAAAAGTAACATAAGTGACAGAAAACAGATGCGACGCTGACTACCGCCAGGAAATGGTCATGCAAGAATGAAAGAGCTGTCAGGAAAACTTAATGCAGCGGAAATGAAATAAAGCAATGCTGAATCGTCTTACCAGGTTAGCCATGTAAATTGTTAAAAGTCCTCTCCTGCGTAAGACAGAAAGGCAAGAACTCTTTATGCATGATAATTTATGTTTCTAAAACATTAAAAATCATCAAAAATAATAACTATAATGTCTTCATATTAGCTTTAATTCTATGAGAATAAAAAGGTGACACATAAATAATGATCACAAACAAACAATGTGATAGGAAACACATTTTACTAGCTGATAATTAACAGACAAAAAAAAATTATCTTTTATCATGGTGTGCAATATTAGTATTATTTTAATAAGTAAAGAAGTAAAAAATAACTCTTAATAGCAGGTTTTATGGCTTCTTAACCCTTTAACTACCCCACCAAGAAAAAAAAAATGGATTGCATTTCTTGACTCCTAATGTTGCTAGTTAACACACTCAATGCATTTTTTAACACACCCCATAATTTCTAAAATATCAATCTCACGATATGTCAGTTTATGGCAAAAGTACTCAAACTTAACACATATACTATGAAAAAAATTGTAAATACGAAGTGTAAGACCGATTAATTTTTTTAAATATTGAAAATAAAACATTTTCTGAATACTAAATGATCTTTATTTTTTTTTAAGTTTGCTGTAAAATATTTCAGATTCTCATTTAACACATTTTCCAGTTTTTTTTTTTTTACAATCAAGTGTAAAGCAACAGGATTATGTTTGTTTGATTTTTTGTAAACTAACAATGCTGTGTCTTTAAACCATTATTTCATTAAATGACTTTAGCAGTCATTATTAGAAACAGTAAAACATGGTTAACCATTTAGTAGAGCGGCAGTTAAAGACAAAAACATTCTTCTATGAGTAAATAGAATCTATAAATTTTTTAATACCAACATTACATAACATTTGCCAGTAATAGTTCAAATCACTTTTTCTGTCTTGTACAGCAAGAAATATGCATTTCCTCAAAAATGTCCTTAATTCATGCATTTCCTCAAAAATGTCATGCATTTCCTCAAACATATAAAACAAGAAGCTAAAGCCTTAAAATATTAGAATATTTACAGACAGACCATATTTATTTCTAATGCAGTATGCTGTTACTGAACATTACTGAATACCAGCACATGTATTCCACAAGCAATCAGAATCTTTGAAGAGTTTAAGCATTTTCAGTGCATGTTTATAATAAACAATGTTGGTGCAGACATATAGTGTTTAGTTAACATCCTTGGGAGAGATTATAAGCCTGGTTCACACCTAAAAATACATTTCCATATGGAAGGTCAGTGTAAATTTGGTTAAATATAATTAAATAATGAATATTTGCATGACATTTGTAATAAAATGGGCCACGGGTCATTTATGATGAAGGGAAAATGTCAGGACTAACCTGCTTTTCCGCTCTATTAGTATAGCAATATATGAGGCCGGCAATGCCGCCCCAAAGCCAGCTGACCAGGAGTAGAAGCGTCCCAACAGCCTCCTGAATAAAAGATGAACAAGAAAAGAAACAATGGAAGGAATAGCAGGTCATTATTATTTATATTGGTGAACTACACAACAGGCATGCTTTCAACCAAAGATAATATCGCTGTTGAATATTAAGGTCTTATTTAAATGTGGTCATGAATTATGTGAGTTACATTCCATAGTGTGGACTGGTCATGCAGAATGAGGGTCATAAATCTAAACGATTATCTTGGTTCATGTTTTATTTAATGTGTCAAAGGTCTCAACCATCCTATTTGGATGGATATGTGCGTAGACTTTAAACAGCAGATAGCAACAGGGATTCAAAGGTTGCTTTACAGCTTGACCATACACGTGGGACAGCAAATGTTTCCACAAACTGTTTTTAGGCAGAATTTGGTTGAGATTACCGCAAAATGCAGAAAAACGCAATGTAGAGGCCTCCATTTGCAGTCAGGAAAGATGTGGACTGCAGGATCTCAGGAAGCAGCCTTTTTTTGTAGTAATCCTTTTTCCTTCTCCTTAAAATGGCTGCAATCTGAAACAGAAAAGTTTGATAGGATGTTATTCATTATATTCTGTTTCTTTACTGGGAGCTCCTAATGAATAAATTGTGTACTGTGAGTTTAGTGACACAACAGAGCACAGATGCACCTTGAGCGTAGCATTGGCTAACATATTGGTTTCTGTAGGCAACATGCTGACGCTTAGTGCTTTGTCACCCAAATACCGCTGACCTACAGTCTAGATGAGACATGTTTTTTTTGGTTTTTTTTGGAAAACTGAATTGAATGTCAACTCTGCAATGCTACAGTTCACCATGAACTGGAGTTTTGCAATGTAAGCCAATGATACATTCAGAGTTGACACAGTGATGCTCCCACTGTCGGATCAATAAAGACTGACAGCCACGTCATCACAAGCCAGGAAATAAAAGATAACATTAACTGATAAATACATGTACTACAGTGAAATACAGCTAACATCCAGAGCTTGTATGCTATGTTTTGTAAAGCTGTGCATCTTTTGAACAATTTGTATAAAAGCACTAGTAAGTTATGCTAGCATATTTAAAGATATCGATCCATAACAAGTCTGCTATAAAAGTAGCTTTTTATCTCAACAGATAAACATTTTATTCACTTTAGATGTTCTATTTAGCTTCCACTATGGAGTCAATCTAGAGCCATATATACTTGCAAAATAAAAATAAAGTTTTGCTGACAAAAAAATTAAGTATTGAGCAAAATTAAACATATAAATGCAAATCTCCAAAAATCGCAAAGCAAAAATGTATTTTTGAGAAGAAAAAATATTATTTTACTAAAAAAACTGCAAATAAAAATCAAGCAGTGCAAAAAAGAAACGAAAATATTTGCAATAAAAAAAATAATTAAAAAAAAAATTATATATATATATATGTGTGTGTATTTTTTTTGTGAAACATTTTTTATACCATTGCCTTTACAAATCCTGTACAGTCAATTGCAATGCTCATTTTGATTTGCTTTTTAGTCAACCGTGTGTTCAAGAAGCAGTTTTCACTTTGCACTTCACATTTCTGCACATTTCACTTTGTGGCCCTGACTTGACAAGGTGGCGAAGTCAAGAGAACTTGGGCGTTTACGTCATCATGTGGACACACAGCATCACTGAGGTGGTCTTACAGCGCAGTAGATCTGGGCCTGCCGTAAACGATCAAGTTACCTTGTAAAGTTTGGTTTTGCAAAGGCAATGATATAAAATTTTTTACAAACATGTTATTTTTTTAATTGCTAATATTTTTGTTTTTCACACTACTTGATTTTTATTTGCAATTCTTTATTTTTGTTTGCAAAATGTATTTTTATTTCTTAAAAATTTATTTTGGTTTGTAATTTTTGGAGATTTGCATTTATTGATTGATTGATTGATTGATTGATTGATTGCTTTTGTTTGCAAATATTTTATTTTGCAAGTATATATGGCCCTAAATGGACTCCATGTTCCTCATAGCTAATATTTTCTATGAATCAAACAATGTTCAAAACACACAGTTCTTGGTTTAGTTATTCGCTTGATTTGAGAATTGTTTTGTAAAGATCATTATTTAAAATAAAAAGGAAATCCTGTTCAGTTATTTTATCCTGTGGACTTATTTTAACTTTTATCACTAAGAAAAAAAGTTCACAATAAACCATTCTTGCACAAACATAGATATTTTACACATTTTGTTTTTATAGAGGTTAAATAGATAGATAGATAGATAGATAGATAGATAGATAGATAGATAGATAGATAGATAGATAGATAGATAGATAGATAGATAGATAGATAGATAGATAGATAGATAGATAGATAGATAGATAGATAGATACTGCTCTAAAAATATATTTCCACGAAAAGGCTTGTATGACTTGTCGATTCGATGTATTACTCAATTAAACGACTCTCGAGAAACGATTCTCGATCGAGTCAGTTGTTTCAAGACCGTCGTCCAGACTGACTCGCAAGTACAGATCAATTATAAACTAGACATTAATAAACAGTTTAATTTAGAAGAGGTGCTTCGTGAACACATCGTTCGAGACCGTGTGGTGGGGTTTAAAGATAAAGACCAATCAGGCCGGAGCCGTACCACTGAACTAACCAATGAGAAGAATGGGGTGGCAAAATTTTAAGAGGAGTAAAAAACAGGCTATTCAACTGATTCACTTGAAAGATCCGATTAGTAAGAACGATTCCTTGATACTATTGTTAAGTTTTGATATCTATTTAACATCTAGTTTAAATATAACATCTCAAAATATCTTTGATTGTAAAAAAGTAGCCTAACAATGCATGTTAAATCTGCAGTTTCGGTTTATTGAGAATGAATGTAGACAAACCAGAGAGATTACCATCAATGATGTGTGACAATCACATACTTTTAACTCACCACAGTATTTAAAACAATGTGGTAACGCGGAAACAAAAGCGAGAGTGTATAAAGTTCGCACAAGATCCGTAGAGAAGCGTTTGACAGTTTGATCCCTATCATCTAGCAGCAGCTTCCCCTCAGCTCACCTGAGCATGACAGTAGTCTAACGAGTCTCTCCTGCACACTTTACCTGCTAGTGAATGTAAAACACGAAAGGTTGAGCCCCGCTTCTGTGTGTTTATATCTAAATAAGTTATCACCAGTCTCAGGCCCTTGTATCCTCTAACTGGACTCCAGTTTAGCTGCAGGCTAACTGCGCCCTTGCCTCGGTAAATGCACGGTCAGACCCGAGCTGTTTCACTCACCAGGTAGAGAGGAGCATAAATCTTAAAGGAGACCTCCAGAGCTCCGGCTGTCACCTGCAGGGTGGAAGCCGTACATGAAGAACTCCATGTGTGTCCCAACTCATAGCAGCTATGCGGTATGGACTTACTGAGAGCAGCCATGTTTAGCACAGCACCGCGGGAGCGCGCGTCAACTCTATCTCGCGAAAACTCTTCCGAGGGACGCGCGCTCCCGTGCACGGTAGGTAGATGTCAGTGGTTGTTTCAAATGCTTAATTTACGTATTATGCAATTATTCATTATATATTTATAATTTTATAGTATCACTTCAAAACTAACTTGAGTGAATTTATTCTCATAATAAATGAGGTAACAAATAACGTTAACGTGTAACATCAGCCGTTGTAGTGTTTTCCACTCGCCCGTACATCTAATTTACTTAATTTTCCATCCATCTACATAAACACGTTTTTATCAATCCCTTATCATATTTTTCTGTATTCTATTTACCCATTAAACGATCTATTTTTTTATTTTCTGTCCATAGTCTGCCAAGGTTTATGTCCTGTCCTCCATTCATTTTGTGAAGCTAGTCATTTATTTTTCTATCAATCTGTCATTAAAAAAATTGAGACATAAGCAAATATATAATGAGACCTCCAAGAAACATTTACGTCACTTGTTTTTTTCTACATTAACAATCTGTCTTTTGGATCTAGAGTGCAGTGCTTCCAAACAACTGCAGAGGGCGATAAGTGCACATCTATAATAACTTGTTCAAAAAATGACTAGGAAAACAAAAAGTAACACTTAAATGTTGTTTTTGTAAATTAAATAGTTGATGAACTGTAAATGTCTTAACTTTTTTTAGAGCATCACAGGGTCAGAATTATACTGTATGCTGTTCTAAACCAAAGATTAGTGAAGTAAAACAATGACGCTGACAGCTCAAGTGCCTTTATTGGGACCAGAATACAGCTCGTAGCCACTCAGTTAATGTACATGGCGACTCCTAAAAAAATACAAAAAAAAAAAGAGAGAATGGGGGGCAGATATTAAATACACAACACTTGAAAAGCTAAGACGGTGACAGGGAAACAAAACAGCCTAATGTCATCATTCATCCTCATCCCAGTCCTTCTTTCCTTGTGGAGCTTTGGGTCCACCAGCCGGCTTGGCCATTATTATCTGTGAAGGAAAAATCAGACAAAGTCAGATGCGCAGAGTAAAAGACAGTCCGTTGTGCAGTGCAAAACTCTGAAGAAAAAAGTGCTTTTAGTGCATGCGGAATGCAAGTAAATGTGCCAAAACGCTTAGATAACATTCAACATAGCAAGTAATAAGTTAGTGATGTTTGTGGGTTACTACCCTATAACTCAGACTTTTATTCAGACTGAACTCAAGACTAATATTTAGCGTCATTAGACAACACAACTGCAAATAGTGAATCGAACCATTCTGTCTGTGGGTGTAGACACTTGTATAGTATTTACTATATCATTCCTGGAGTTCGAGGATATCAAAATCAGATCATTTATCATATATGTTAATCCAAACTTCAATATCTACGACTGTTAGACTCATTTGGTTAAGGTGAATATCCACACTGTGTTCATGCAGCCTGGGTCACTCTGGTGGTTAAGCACTCCAAACATTGGCGTGTTTTTGTGCACCTTTGCTATTATTTAGGATTTCTTATTAATGATGTGCATCAAATTTATCTGGTTCATCATCCCAGCCGTCCTTGTCCCAGTGTCCTTGCTGTTTAGGGGCTTTGGGTCCCCCTGCTGGCTTTGCCATAATGATCTGGCATATACACATCACATTATAATCCAAGAAAACAAAAAACAGACAAACAAAAAAAAAACTAAAATCCCAAAAGTGATGAACATGAATGGAGAAAAATGAAAGAGTATACAAATAAGTGTAAGAGATCTAACCTGATCCACACGGAGGACAGTGATGGCTGCGTTTGTGGCCAGTTTGATGCCCCAGTACTTGACTAGGTATGGATCGAGGATGCCTGCCTCCATCATGTCTCTCACTGCAGGACCCTCTCCCTAAAACAGTGATCAAAAGCAGCAGTCAAAAAAACGTCTTGTGCAGACAAAATAAATGTCCACATTCACCGGAAAACAATTCACATTATTACTGTGGAATAATTTAACAGTAATAATTGTGATTTGTGCATTTTGGCTGCATTTACATCGTAGATCCTAATGGTCAATTCTGATTTTGTGACTGTATCTGATTTTGTTTTGATGACCTGCTTGCGTCTTTTAAAAGTGATCTGTATCCAATTGTTGGCATTTACACTGCACACGGCAAAGACCAGAAAAAAAAATAGATAAATTAAAAAAAATATCTATATTTCGGACTCTGACTAATAGCTGATAATAAACGCATGCTCTTTTCTCCATATATGTATTTAATCTGTTTGAATGGATTAGTTTATTTTATTTTATTATTTCTGACAAGTTGTTTTACTATAGTTTATGATGGAAAAGTTCTCACTTGGCCATTTTCTTTTAATCTAGGCTTTTTTAAACCAGTGGGCATCTTAAAGTCATTTCCAAGCCATAATTTATGCATGTATGCAACAGTTTTATATTAGTTTATATTGGTTACATGGCAGATGTTGTGCTCTCTTGCTCTTAGTCTCGTTAAACATGCTTAAATACTTGTGCTACATGACAACAGAAAAGCTTTTTCTAGTTCTACGGTATGAGATTGAAGGTTTGGGACTCTACTAAAATTTGTTCCAAACTGAAAGCAGAGTGATGTCGTTCACTATGTTTTTTAATGATGCACTACTCGCATTGACAGGTGAAAATCCGATCTACTTGCTTACACTGCAGACACAAGGGCACGGATGTGATTCATATCAGACAAATTTCCACATATGAACAAGGCCTGAATCTAATTTATGTAAATCAGAATCTATATGATTTTGTTCCTGCTTACACGTACATGGGCCATATCCCATCTGTGGCACATGGGTGAAAAAAAAAATTAGGAATTGAGTCACTTGAACTATGCAGTACTGCGTTTCCTCTCTGATTTTTTCCAGCTGTAGCGGCAGGCCTTTTACACAGATCTTCCCACTACCTATGGCGTTATTTAAATGACAAATGTTGTGAGTGCAGTATTAAAAGTCGAGATCGCATTTATGTAATACGAGCATGCAAATCTCTTTGCTTGTGCGCCAATTTCCTCTTTTCCTGCTCAAGTGCAGATTTTCTTGTGCACTCTCAAATAAACACTGAAGTGCGATTTAGTGCATTTATGTAACAAGTATGTCTCCAACATTTATTCAATTTGCTAGGAAATATTATGAATTTCCAATAGACCTACAATAGGTCTCCAATAGACCTACAGAGCGGTATTAACGTGTCCTGACGTAAAGTGAAACGGCTATAAACTCCAGCAAGATAAAGTCATTGTATTCTGAACTATAAAGCATATAAATAACAAAGTATAATTATGAAGACTGTGTTCATCTTAACTGAACGCCATGTCGTGTTTGCTAACCTCACCTGTCAGTCAGTCAGCATGTCACCTTAAAGGGTTAAACAAATGACACACAGCAATGCTATGGTTACAGAAAAATTTGCGCTGTTATAATTCACTTAAATTTTGATAGGTTTGGTGTGATTATAACCTGCTTTTAAAAAAACATAATAATTGGAAAATGGAAAAGTGTAATGTAGCTGTGGCGGGATGAATTTTGGTGAAATGAATGTAGCGGAAACCATGGAGTGTAAAGTTGAGCCATGCAGCCTTTAGTTGAGTGTGTCAGCACCTTGTCTGGTTTAAGTCTGCTATAGATAATTAAATTACTTTGCATTTTGAGTCCCACAAATGCATTGAACTCCCAGAACTTCTGGGAGTCTTGGGATGTCTGAATATCACGTTTACCAACTATAGTGAGACACGATCCAGCGGTACATCCTTTAAAAACTGTTCGACGTGCACTGCTCTCTGTCTCTGGAGCCCAGAGGAGTGCACGACAGTGTGTGGCTCTGCAGTGAGCACGACTTGTGTCTGTGTGTGGTCACGTGACACGCATTTTCAGCGGACGCAGGAATGTTCAGAAATGCTAGGTAAAATGGTGGGGATGTGGATCATTTTCGTTCTAAAATGCCATTTTAGCACTAAGACGTATTAGTGTAAACGGGGTCTGAGTGTGTATTTTTTGCAAGCGGGTTTGCGACAGGGGCGGGATGGAGGATCGGCGATGCCGGCTCAGCATCGTGTTGTCTATTGGCCATCAGCAATGGACAATTGCATTGTCTATCGACCCAACCCTAGTTAAAATTATAGGCTTTTTTAGAAACATTTAATAATTATTTTAATGCATTTACTAACCTGAACAATCTTGTACAAAATTTATTAGCCATAGTTCAACATTTAATAAAGCATTATCAAAATCCAAAGTTGTGCTTGTTAACATGAACTGACAACAAACATGAATAACGTTAAAAAAGCTGAATAAATACTGTAATGAATGTATTCATTTTCTGCTCATGTTACTAAATATATTAACTAATGAACCATTATTATTTAAGTGTTACCAATTTTCTTTAAGCAAATTATCTGAATTTTAAAGCTCATCTTCCAAGGAAACAATCTGAAAATTCCCCACCGTAATTGAATAAAACTGAGTAGTAATATATATGCATAGCTAAGAACTTAATCTGGACAACTTTAAAGGGAATTCTCTCAATATTTAAGATTCCAGATATTCAAATAGTTGTATTGTCAACCAAATATTGCCCTACGCAAACAAAGCAAAAATCAATGGAAAGCTAATTCATAAAGATTAAAGATTATGTCAAAAATCCCAAATAGAAAAAAATAGTTGTTGTTTTGTGGTGCAAGGTCACATTTAGTGAACAGTGTAAAATAAGCATATTTCAACAGTTGTTATTCATGGTGTTTTACCCTCTTTAAATAGTCTAACAGGCCTTATCTTCAGCCATAAAATATACTAGGCCACTGCAATAACACCTTCAAATTCAATATCCAGGGTCCTTTTTTTATTTCCATATTTTATTTCACTCACCTCAATGTCAAAGCCTGAGTTCTTGTTGCCCTCGTGATGTGTGGCGTACAATTTGGAGATCAGCTCGTTGCCCTTCACACCAGAGTTTTCTGCCAGCGCACGGGGCAGT